TTAGCGTCAGTTAGATGACGCCCTAGGATCGCGTGTACCCTACCCCCACCCCACACCTAAACCTAACCGCGTCCTCTAACAGACGCTTTCCTTTAGCGTCAGTTAGATGACGCCGTAGGATCGCGTCATGTAAGTGACGCTAAAGGGCGCCTAAAACGTCAAATATTGAAGCATGGTCAAAGGTGACGCCTTGGGGTGAGAATGCGTTGCAATATTCAATGATGTTCGATAAGATTGGACGTACCTCAATCCATTTTTTTTAACCTTTTCACATTCTCACATCATTTGGAAAAAAGGATTCAAGTTGTTGGTCAGGACATTTATCACAAAAGGGACTGAAGGAGGAGTCAATACGATGTCTTTTGAAGTTATAATGAATCTGTAATGAAGTGATTAGGATTCCTAGATGAAGTAAAAATGTTCTGCCATACTCTTCCCCAGTTTGTGACACCCTCCTCTTATTCACAGTCTCTTTCCCAAGCGTGCTGTATAGCTAGGCGATTTGTCGTAGCCTCTAAGACCTTCCCATACATCCATGAACTGAAGTGACTAGAAGAGGACAACACAAACCAAGCAATGATTGTGTGTGGGAAGAGTTTCACCCCAGGGCACCTCCATAGTCCTCCATGGCCGACCTTAGGCGCAAATATGTTCATTCCATACCACTCACACAGTTCTTGAAAGCTTAACATGTGTTTAGGACCAGTAATATCTTTCAATGTATAAATGCCCTTCTGCATCCAGCCTCTTGAGAAAAATGGTGCACCTCCTCCTGATTGGATATATTATTATTATACCAAATGGGTGCATGGGTGTGCCAAATATGCGAATAATGAATACATTTTTCCATAAGTTTAAAATTGACTACTGTGATTGGACCAAAAGCTTGCATACATTGCTTGTTGTTTAGCCCAGTATAGTATAGTATATCTTGCAACCTGTGTTTGTCTGCTAAGCTCTCCTCTATCTCTCTCCAAGGAACCCTAGACAGTGGGTCGAGCCAATCCTTAATTAATTTTATTTGAGAGGCCCCCTATGATACAGTTCGAAATTCGGAAGCACTAATCCTCCATTATGTTTTGCACACTATAGTGTTTCAAATTTCAATACGGGTTGCTGGCCATTCCAGATGAATTTATGAATTTGAGAATTGAGTTTGTGCCAAAAAATAATTGGTGCAAGTAACGGAATCATGGAATTGAGAAAATTGATTCGCTATTCGCTATATTGACTCGCTATTCCAGCATGTAATGATAGTGGCAACGAGGTCCATTTTTGGAGATCTTGTTCAGCTCTAGTTAGAATTTGTAGATACCATGGAGAGAAGAATGAACAACAATGCCGCCTAAGTAACTTATTGAAGTTTTGTATGGAAATATTGACTTTCTTAGCCATACAATTAAGTAGGAGCAAAGAGGATCTATCCCAATTGATACTGAACTTTTCAAGTTCTTTCAGTATCTGGTGAAATGAAACTTGAAGATCCGAAATGAACAGTAAAATATCATCTGCATGTGTGATATACATCACGTTGTTTGTAAGAGTTCACTAAAATTGAACAGATATTTTCCTGTCTTACCAGTTGGGCTTGGGGCTCTAGCAACATTGCAAATAGCACTGGGGATAAAGGGCACTCTTGTCTTGTTGTAAATGATATTGGATGAGAGATTCCGTGTCGAGAAAAAGGTATAGTTTCTACTCAAGGGGTTCCCATATCTCCAAACATCAACCAAATTAAACACTTTTACAAGATCATTAAGCGCAGTCAAGGAATTAAGCTGACTTGATTGCAGCAAGAAGATCTAATAGTCTTCTTGCTTATCAATCAATGAAAGGAAGTGATTAGTTACATGTGGGAATTTTTTTTTGCCTCAAATATTGTTGGGGCACAGATTGATTCAAATGCTATGTAGGTAACAGCTGGTACAATTAACTCCTGGATCAGTGGCGTCATGCCCATTCAAAGGGCATTTTTTTCTCCCTGATAATTTTTTTTGTCACAACTTTATTCATATTATGCTCCATAATTACCAGAACCTATAACGACTCAAATGCATTTTTCTGGATGTGTAATAAATCGGTCAGCATCAGCCCGCCCCTTTTTCCTAATATGGTGTCTGAACCACTACCTTGTCTTAGCATAGTTCAAATTAACTGATATTTTAAGAGATATTTTGACTTTGACAGTCATGGGACCTGTCTGACATTATTATCCATTTGTTATTTTATGGAGTTAAAAATGATGAAGCAGTGAGGCAGTTTTGTTAAAATCATGCCTGAACAGACATTTGAGGTCCAGGCTTTGTGCTTAAGGTTGTTAGCTGAGGGTAATACATGGGGGGATTACTACAGATACCATTAATCATACTAGCTGTTGTTTGAGTATTTGGCTCATTACACAAAGCTTGCAAATGTAAAGTAATCTGTTAAACATTAATGCATTTAAAGATGATACATGCCTAATATTGTATGACTCGAGGACAAAACAACAGTAAAAAAAGAGAAAACAATGGAAATGTTCAACTTATAAAACAGCCCGCAGCATTATAGCTGATGTAGAATCAAGTGCGTGAATCCATGTGCGTTGGCGTTTTTAAATTTCTTTGAAGCAAAGATCATTACACATCTCTTTTAAAATTACATTTTGTGGTAAAAGGATATGGTAAACAAAACAATCTATACTCATTGTCTCACTTGACCCCAGAACACGTATTTTCTCTATTGACACCCATAGACCTTATTCAGAGCAGCGCCATGACAGGTATGAAAGTGAGGCTTTGAGGGATAGACTTACCGTGTTTCCAATGGCATCCGCTGTAAAAAGCGGAATAAAGCGGCTAGATTACTTACAATTTTCCACAGCTTACATTGTCGAGAGTTTTTTGTCAACTGACATTTCTTGGAAAGATATTTTTCCAGTGTTTCATGAGCGGAACAATCCGAAAACACATTAAATAACAATACAGCCCATTGAAGAGATGTAAGTATATCCCTCACAGCCTCGCTTTCATTCTCATTAAAAATCAAAGATGGCGCTGCCGTGAATAAGGCGTATACTTAAAATATTTCATCATAATTCAATTAAACAGCTCTAAATTTAACCCAGTGTCCAAATATGTGTTCTTCTATATTGTTATTATAGTGTGAATTGAGTTGGATGCCTGAGTTTGTGGTAAACTAACAGTGAAACAGTAGGCGTACAATACCCAGATGACCTCCTATCCGCTGAGATTCTGAAGCGTGCAAAGTGCAAACAATGGACACATTGCAGTCCCATAAGGCCACGGGAGCTGAGGAGTCATAAGATTTGAAATGTTATAAAATGGCAGAGAAATGTGAGCCAGGTGGCTCATTTTAAGGTTAAGTGGTATAAGAAAGATGCTCCTGTATGGTTAAATTATACTTTAAACACACACATATACAGAACTGTCAAGAAGCAAGTCCTTCACCTAATTCAGTACATAATGTGAAAGTACTAGTTAAGAAAAATATGTTAGATTTTTTACAAAGTCCTCTAAATGTACATTCAGCCTGTCATCACAAAATAAAGCCCTGATGTGAAAACAGCTAAAAACCAACAAACAGATAAATAAAACTACATACACACAAAATAATGATTTGATATCAAATGAATGTATTATCTTTATAAAGATACAAAACATGTTGCATGAACAAAAGTCATTGTTTATAAATATTTAACTGCTGAATGACTGTCTGATCAGAATCAAGTATTGTATAGAGCAATGTGAAGACATGACAAGAGCAAAGGCAGGAGACATTGCTTGCAGTCAGTGAACTCTTTATTGAAAAACCCAAAACCACTCAACAGTGACCATCCTCACAGCAGTCCCTCACTAGAACTGCTTTCACAGACAAACATACATTCCTTTATACTGAAAGGGTCAACCATTTGACAGTAATAGGGAATTTAAATAATGTTCACATACATAATAGTACACAACTACACTGAAAATGAAAATAAATTCAAAATACATCAACCTTAATTACACATGGAAAATAATACAAATAATAAACAAATACATTTCTACATACAATGAACATAAACACAATAAAACATGACAATAACCCCCTGCTTCCATTGAGAAATGGACTATGCCTACATTACCCAGAATTCTTTGGGATGGTATAAAATGAGGAACAGGAAGGCCGCGCACCCTCTTACACACCCACCCCCGGACTGAAGCCATGCAGACATGAACCCAGAAGGTTAGTTTTGCAAATGAGGATAAAACTAATGATTTATGTAAATACCAAAATAAAGAAATAAATCTCTTGGTGTTTTTTTAATCAGTAATGTGCACCTCAGACTAGAGAAAAAAAGTTATCAAATAATGAGAAACAAACATTTACAAACATAATCTGAACCAAACAAACACAGGTGCCTACTAGCAAGTTATATAATGTACATTCAGACCCTTGTTCATTGTCTGGTGTCGTTTTACCTGTTCAAAAACTCAATTTTACTGCTTTACAGTTTTTCAAAAAATGCTTACACAGTTTTTTAAAACTATGGCTCCATTTCTCAAAACTGGAGTGAGTGAATGGTTTCACTGAGTGGGCCTCAACAATTACACTTTTATAAGCAATAAATAAACAAACTGTAAATTGCAAACAAACCAATTTAACAAAAATAGATCACTTCCACATTGCAAAATAAGATGTAGCCTATAAATAGATGAGAAGCAGACATAAAATCAGAATAATGCACCTAAGAGCCATGTAAGTTATTTTTTTTTTAGTCCAACATTAAACAAATACATTTAACATAAAATAAATTACAATTGCAAATGATAAAAACCGGTTAATTTTATTATTTATAACATTTATTGAGAGAACCGTTTTTTAAATTCCAGAGTGTGTTTAAAATAAATATTTTAGTGGTTCGGTACACCATAAAGGATGGTCTAAACGGATTAAGAGACAGAAGGGGGATGAATGAGACGTAGTTTCTGGACATAGTCGGTGGTCCAGATTTTGTAAAAGTAAGTCACATTGAGGCAGCTGTGCCGCAGTCATCCTGTCGTCGGTGAGGTTGGAAGGCGAAGTGCTCGCGCGGGATGATTGGTGAGGTGTTCCACTGACCGCGCCCTCGTTTCGCGCCTATAACCGCTACCGGGAGAACGCGCATTGAGCGGCATATCTGCTGTGTCGTTTCATGCAGGTGGAGTGGCTTGACGCGCTCACACAGCCGTCGTCTGTACGCCAGTGGAAGGGGAGGGCAAACAACCGCATTTCGCGTCTCTGGACTATACAAAAGACCAACGAACAATTTCCAGTGAGAAGTGGGGATAACGCGCGCTCACTTTCAGCCACAAACACAGGTAAGGGCACTTCTGTGTGTCTCTGCAGATGCTTTTGTATTTAGAATATGTGCTTTCATAAATGCAGGTGATGCGCGTGGCTGGGGAAGTGGTGAAGATGTTATTGTCTGTTCTGTGTTATTGTTAGCCCTTCGGAAGTGTATCTTTTTATTTATTCCTCATTGGTGAGGGGTTTGGTGAACACCTGCGTGTCATATATCGTTAGTAACTGGCGCTGTGTGTACTGATTTGTCCCCATTCGAGTCATGCCATGTGCGGCTCTCAGATGCACGAGAGCGAGCGAGAGAAAAATGGAAAAGCCGTGGGAATAAAACAGCCTTTTGTTTGGATAAGGGGCTATATCATCCTCCGAATGGGTTGCTGATGGTCATTTTTTTCTTTTTCTTTTTTTCCGTGGAACAAATTTTTGGAGGGTATTATAGCCTACACCTGACCCTCTGAACATGTACATAAAGGACGCATATAAACATGGTCCGAATAAATTGTTTGAATGACTATTGACATGACAGTTGAGGCCTGTGGGAGTGTATCTGGACATTCTGGACTCTTTTATGCATCGTCATTAACAAGTCCATTTCACCACATAACCACATTTCTATAGTGTAAGGCACATTCATATTTGTACCCAATCAACTCAAATAAATGATGTCATTATGTAGGTTGTTCCATATGGTTTTCTTCTTTTTGTGGGAGATGTATTTAAGGATTTCTTGGCTGCTCTCTTTCAAATAATGTCAATAAATTATGACAGAAAATATTAAGCCTCACAGACTTGCATTTCAGTAGCTTTTCAGTGATCCTCATGCTGAACGGCGTAGTCTACGAACCAGATCAGTCTAATTTGTGAACAAATCATAGCCCTATTTGGATGGGACTGGTTTTCTAAACAATGTTTAAGTTCTGATACTTTTCACTTGCTGTCTGTGATTTCATGTACCAATTCTGGCTTGGCTGCATCCGAAATGGCAACTTTACTACTAGATGAAAAAAATTAAAGTGACAAAAGAAAATCTGAATTAACCGTTCTTGCTAAAACAGTATACAAAAAGAACCCAGATGACTTCCTACTTCTGGCGAGTTGTAAGTATGCATATGATGGACACACTACTATCCCATGAGGCAACTGGAGAG